CCACTTATGTACAGGCTTTAGTGGCTTTGGAAGCAGCAAGATGGCTTTATTCAAACCTCAGCAGGTTAACCAAGAAGAACAGGAACTGAACCCACCTGCCAAATATGCTGCTAGGGGAAGGAGCCCTTGATGCTCAGCAGTCAGGGCTTTCATCTTTATTAAAGCCCAGCAAGTCCAAAGAGCTGTGAGAGGAATGGAATGGGGAGAACTCTCTGGCCTGATTCTCTGAAGCCTTTGCTTCCCCCTCCCAGTATTTCCCCCATGGAGAATGGTATGTGGGCACAGAGGGGGATTCCTGGGAGCAGCCCTCAACTATGTGCATTATCAGACATGAAGAGGATGAAAAAAATAACACAGATAGTTTATTGTCAAACTGAATCAAAGCGTGGAAAAAAAAAAAATAAAATCACAAGGTTACACTGTAAAGAAATTTGGTTTTCATCACAAAAGCTCATTAAAATCGGACAAAAGAAAACAACCCATTGTCAAGCCAGCAACTCCTCCGAGCCTTGGAGTGCAACATTTATTGAAACGCCGGGAATTCTGAGGCGGTGACATCGCGTTTGTAGGGACAAAACGATCAACCCTCATTATCTGGGAGAACAGAGGTTCTGTGAGGGGGTGACGTGTTTCTGGCTGAGCGGTGACTCCTCCGTTCGCCTTCGAGCAGCAGCAGCCTTGTCCTTGCTGGAGTCCAGCCCGAGACGATGGCCAAGGCTGGCGGGTGCCAGCTGCGCTGCCTTTCTTTGTCCAGCATTTTCCTGCAATTTCCATCCTGATCCAGTGTGTTTACATCCCTCAATCAAAGGGGCTGTTCCAAAATTAAAGGCTGTCGGGTGCGCAGAGAAGAGCGGTGGGAGCTACGACGGGTCCACCGAGGCCCAGGGGACACAGACACGGCCAGTGCCTCCCAAACCCAGTATGCTGCTGATCCAACCAATGACCAAATCTAACCCTTCTAATTGCTTTTGAACCTGGGAAAGTGTGTAACCGCCGATGCAGAGACGTGCCCTATGGAGTCAAACCCATCTGTGTGTGTCCCGGGCTTCAGAAATGCCCGTTAAGTGGTATCGGGCAATTACGGAGAACCCGGCTCCTCAGCACAGCTCCTTCCCAACAAAACACTCCTGGAAGCTTCCCAAGTTTGAGTCTGCCAACCTGTCCAAACCAATATATTACCTACAGATCGTTTATTCACCAGTAGCTCCAGTGGAACCAGAGGAGTCCAGGAGAGCTTTGCCTGGTCTCCTGCCAGCGTGGCTGGGCTGAGGGGAAGCCTGGATGGCAAGGGTGGCTTGCCAGGAAAACTGCTGGAGACTGCAGGATCCCCTGGAGTGCAGCCCACCTGGAAGAGGCCCTATCCCATCCTGCAGGGGATTTCAGAGTGGTTGGCTTTCTTTCTGAGTCAAAAACACAATGAAATGGGGAAAAAAACATGGGAAGGTGTTTAAGTACGTAGATTAGGGTGTGCTTGGTTTTAATCAGTCAGGACAGAACAAGAAGGATCTTTCTCACTGCTATAAATGAGCTGTTTTATGAATTTTGAGACACTTGTTTTACTGAGTGAAGAAAAAAAGAAAGGCATCTTTATCCTAAGTAGCAGCTAAGGAGACTGGTAAAACTAAAAAAAAAATACCCTAAACAAATCCCCCCAAAAACAAACCTAAAAAAAAAATTTTTAAAAATCAACCCCCTGACTCACCAGTACAATGTAAAGGCAGTCTAGTCATTCCAACTGATCACAGGACTAACTAAAAAATATTTTTAATTGCAACTACTGTGCTATCTTGAGCCAGCTGCTTATTCCAACAGGCCTGAGGTTTTCTGCTCATAAAGCGTCAATAATATGTGCCTTTTCCTAGAAAGGAAGGCTCTGCCTAAGTCTTATTGTGTCAGATAAAAAGTCCCAAAATAGATTTTCCAACCAAATAAAGTGTTTTATTCAGATATTCATGTGGATATGGCAGTGATGTTAAGAACAGCTATTCAAGTAGCTGAAGTAAGCCCTTCAAAAGAAGTCACACAGCTTTGAGACTTGAACAAATTATTGTATGATCTCATCCAAGAGATCTAAATAGCTGGAACATCTGCAGGAGTCGCCACCAATTTATTTAGCAGAGTTCAACAGTAGTTCATCAGCTCTGTTTGCACAAGCAGGTGCCAGGGCAGGCACTGAGGAGTCCTGCACACGACTTAAAAAGAGGAGAGGGGGAAGAGGGTTGGACATAGATGGATGATTTTATGATTTAACATGGATGTGCATTAGCAGGAATAATGTCCCTGACAAATTAGGGCAGTGCCTTTTACTGAAGAAGTGCAGAATTTCTTTTTTCCCAGAGAAGTATTACATGCACAAGTAACTATATTGTTAAAATTTTTTATTTGTGACAGTAAAGAAACCATTCAATACCTGATTGACAACACTTCTCTCTCCTGCAAACACTCATATGGTATCTGTAGTGTTCTCAAGTATTGCTGGATTGTTCATTGCATCAAAGTGTAAACAGCTCCATCATAAGAAAAAAAAAAAAGAAGGAAAAAAAGAAAGAAAGAAACATTTCCATTGCTTACTCCTCCGTTAAGGAGTTCCCAATAGACCTTTAACAAGAAATAAAAGAGAGTCAGCTGGGATTTTACAATACCATGTGAAACAGAAAACTGACAGCTGGTTTTGCATAGTTACCCAGAGATTCTGAAGCAATTGCCCCACGCCAGTCTCACCTGCCCCCTTCCTCGCCCCACAAAGGCAAAACAATCACAGCACCTTGGAAATCAGAGGCACAAACTTGTTTCTGTTTTACAAATAGGGCTGTGCGGTACTGTGGTTTATTAGGTTAAAAACAACCTGTAAAACAGAGGATTTACGTCTCCAGAACTTATATAATTACTTTACTTTTTTTTTTTTTTTTGATACACTGAAATTTCAAAAGCTGCAACATCAGCACACACCAGTGTCATTTAGATACTTTATTGTCCCCAACCAGTCTAATCAAAATCATGCTGTAAGAAAGTGATTTGCGTACACTGACAACCAAATGTCTCCAGGTGTTGAGCTTCCTCCATGTAGAACTTCGCTGTTTAATAAAGATCAAAAGGGCAAAACAAAGAGACAAATTACTCTTCCAAAGCTACCTAAATGAACACAGCAATACTGTACATTTTGCTACCATCTCCCATTCCAAGCCTGCCACGCTTCCTGGTGGTTGTTAACAAGGACTCTGCGCACAGCCCTAGTTTACAAATGGCAATTTAATCGTTAACACCTCAGCTGAACTTAAAGAATCTAAGGCAATTCTGCCTTACAGCTTAATTCAAAAATACCTATACAGGCAAAAAACCGTTTTTAACCCGACATAAAAAGGACAACAGAACTTCAGGCCAGGCAGCATCTCTTTAGCTGAACAGGATGACCAACTGGAAAAGACTTTTTAATAACTTCTATAATATCCAGAAATAATAAAATTGAAAGCCAGGGTTTATAACAGCCCTGGTGACCTGCATGCACTAACTGCACTTCAAAATATGCAAGAGATTTAGGAAACAAGTATTTTTTTTTTTTTTCCTATTTTAGTTTTTAAACTCTTGTATTTAAAATACAATCAAATACCCGTATTGCAAATTTTACAGACATTCCATTATCTGACTGTATGGACAGAACTATATTGCTTTGTTACAATCTAGAAACTAAATATAGAGCGTATGTATATCCACGCAAACTCAACACTTGAAATTTCAAGTACGATGATAAGTGTCAAAATAACCAACTAGGACAGTTTGATCCCTCTGGTCAAATCTGAATACACAGGGGAGTCCAAACCTGATTGCAGAGCACTCCAAGTGGGTTAAAAAATAAAAAAATTACTAAATTACTCAAAACTTACAGAAAATACTCTTAATATTAAGAGATCCAAGCTGTGGCTAAGTTTTTTGCCTTTGTCACAAAATGTTATTTTAATGCTTTACTAAAACTAACTTATTAAAATAATTTGGGTTGGTTTTTTTTTTTGTAAATTTGTGGATTTCAAGAGCCAAAATAATACAGTGTTAAGTACGGTTTGTACAGAACATCATCAGAACCCTTCCTGCAGAAGCTGGTGCAGAAGTTCAGTTGCCCGTTCTATGTGGATTTTAGAACAATACAAGACACTTTTAATAGTCAACATTCATTCACAGACTTAAGGCAACTGGTTCATGAAATCGCTGCTTTCAGAGATGCAAACGGATGACACGGTTTGTCTCACGTACAACAGGTCACCACGGTGGGTTATTTATTGTCTGTTTGGTCTAACGCTTTTGCGAGAAAGTCTTTGAGTTTGTTTTGTTTGTTTTTTTTTTTTTCAGCCATTCCTCTCATACCTGCACGACTAACTACAACCTGAATACTTCCCTGCAAACTGCATTTGAAGCCCAGAAGCCGCAAAACGCAGTTGAAAAAATACTGCTCAGAGAACAACTTTTCTTTCTTTTTTTGTTTTTTTTTTTTTTTTTGGCAGCTTACGGGTTTTTCGTTCCTCTGAAGTCAAATACAAAATTAAACAATCTTAAACCGAAAGGGAACGTTAATGGACTAACCAGAATCCATACGTCTCTCTCTTTTTTTTTTTTACCCCCGTTTTTTTTTTTTTAAACAAAGTAGGCTTTTTTTTTCTTGATTTTTTTTTTGTTTTTTTTTTTTTTTTTAAATTTTGGATTTGACGGTTTTGTCTTTCGTTGTGGCACAGAATTGTACAGTACTAAGGTAATGCCAGCTGGTAAGAAACAAAACGGTGATGCCATTACAGACTCACACAGAGTGTGACGGGACTGCCTCCAACACCCCTGGGTGCAGCCACAGCTGGAGCACAGCTGCTCACTTTTATACTGTACCTACAACCTACTCACTGCCTGCCCTTCTATGAACGTTGTTAAGCTGCTTCACCAATGATTTTAGACGAGGATCACAAGCCAAGTCCATTGCAAAAAAGTTGTTTTTTGTCTTTTTTTTTTTTTTCTTCCCCCCTCAAATCTTCAAGACTTTTCGAGAGAAACAGAAAAGGCAAAGGGGATCTGCAATTCAGAATTTAGCACGAGGCTAATTAGAAGCACCGAATAGTCCATTTAGTCTTCTCTGATGACAGCCAAACACAGCTGCACTTTTTTATGTTTGCAGATTTCTGGGGTGGAGGATAATTAAAAGGTGACGCTGGAAAGGGGGGAGAAAAAGTAAGAAAGAAAAGGTGTGCCTTTTCTTCAAAGGCTTAAAATGTTTAAAAGTTATTCAACTGAAAAAGCACCTCTGACACTGCAGAAGATGCTAAGCAGGTTCTCAGACTCAGAGATGAGTCTAACTCAACTCCAAAGCCAGAGGAGCCATTTTAGTCTAGGCTAGTAACTTGTGCCCTTCTAGCAAAGCTCGATACAGCTCCCAATCTGTACCTCACAGCTTGGGGGAAAAAAGAAATACAAATCAGAGATGTGAGCAAAATGCTTTTTTGCATTTTTATATACCAACAAAAGGAGAGGGCTTCACCCCAATTGAAAAAAAAAAAAAATTAAAAAAAATACCCTTTACAGGTCACCTTTAACTGAGTTCTCTGGTATTTCAGATACCATTGGATTAATCCATGGGGGTGGGTTATGAAGCCTGCATTTTATTTATTGCCCAAGTCTGCAGCTTACAGAAAATGTTTCATAGCACAGGCACAGTGGCAAAAACAGTATAACAGCCGATGGTCAACTCCATTTGGTGAGTATACAGTAGCAGCAATTAAAAGAAAAAAGTACTCCAAACAGCTCAACACAGATCCAGCTTACCCAGACGGGCTGTTTTAAGAAAAGAATCTTAAACTAATAAATAGATCTCCTCCTCCCCGTTCTCCCAAGATAATGGTTTTCCGAAAATCGAGAGGCATGGCAGTTGTGCGTAAGCAGAGACAACAGAATTTCATCTGTCCGCAAGAGAAGGTGCTTTAAGGTCTATCAGCCACCTTGTTTTCTCAATTCCATCATTCCCTGACAACTCAAAACAACTGCAGATATGTTCCAAACTGTGCCCAAGATCATCATCGGTGAAACAACCATGTAATGAACCCAATTCACCCCTCCCACGAAACGCCCGAAACCTTCCGAGCGTGCCAAAGTGTAATGCAACTTAATGTCAACTGTGGAGACAGGAACCCAGCATCTTGGTTTCAACTTTTTCCTTTGTTATATATTACAGTGCTCTATAAAATTTTTTTCCTTTTTCCTTTTAAAGCATTTAGACAATACAAGACTAAAAGATGTCTGGAAATACGTCTTATACAAAAATGAATTTTTTTATCTTAAAATAACATTCAAAAAGGCACTTCATTCTGTAAGAAAAAATTCAGAGTCAGGTCAACTGCTCTAAGCAGGGGGGTAAAATTGTCTGCATAGTGGGAGGGGAAGAAAGGGAGAGAAATTCAACTGCTGAAATACAAGCTTCTTTTTTTTTTGGCATGTTTTAAGAAAAGCTGATCCAGTAAAAGATGTCCATTTATGAAATTAATTAAAAGAGTCCCACTTAAAATAGCTTCTTTTTTTTTTTTTTTCCTTTAAAAAAGTAGTCTGAACACATGACCTTAGGAGTCAGGCTTCTGAAGGCTTAAGAGCATCACTCATGATTGTCCTTCGTGTCCAATGTAACAGGAAGATCAAGAGTAGCACTTCTGACAGGGGTGACCTCCCCAAAGCTTACATTTGAAAGAGCTGAAAAAGATGGAGACAGGCTCTACTGCAATCTAGTAGCAGAAGTCAGTCAAAGTTAAGGGCTACCTGTTGCAGAGTTTATGAAGCATACTGTAAACTTCTTCCTCTTTGCTTAGTCCTTCAAAGAAAGGAATAAGATCTAGCAGCTCTGTGTCTGTCATGTCATCAAACCAGGACTGCACAGGCACCTGAAACAAAGCAACCAACAAACACTGAGAGGGCTTCACGATGTGAAGGACACGTGAGTTTTGCCTGTGTGGGTGCCCTGTAACACTCATCATCCCAATAAGGCAAACTGCTAATCATTAGCATTCAGGTGGAGCACCGGGTTCAAGCCCATGTATTTCTAGCACCCAACCCCAACCCCAAAGCCAACTGCAGGACAGCTGACCTTCACCTGCATGTCTAGGTCACCTACGTGACCCCACGCTGGGCAGCTCGACTCGCTCTGCCTCCTTAACATTCCAGAACAGACTGGAAGGGAGACACAGGTTACAAAGCTGCACTGACAGTTTATTTACAGGCAAGTCTTTTTTTTTTTTTTTCCCCTCTAAGAATTATCAGTGTGAGTCACCAGACAGAGGAATGCAGCAACAACCCCTTCTGGCGAGGGGTTTGGAGGAAACATTTAACAGCGAGTAAAGAACAGAGCTCAGATTAAAATATTAGACCTCGAGAACAGGTTCAGAAAATAATGCATGTAATAACCCTTCTTAAATATGTGGGCTGGATGTGTATCTTCACTATGGAAGTGCACTGAGGTCTTTTAAAGACTATCTTGGATCTTGTTACAAGCTCTGGTTTCTGCAGAGACTCGAGTATCAGTTCGCTAGCAGCACTTTTCTATACATGACTAAACCACTCTGACGAGGCCCTTAACTTCATCTCCCAAATTTCTACAGCTCATTATTTTCTTGGCACTGATTTCCGAGATACCAAACTATGATCTGGATCAGGTTTTTGATTTTAATCATGAACATAAATTTAGAGCTTCAGCTCCTGGTTATTATAAATGGCAACTTTAAACCACGTGTGGCACCAACTAGAGAAATGTTTTCACCACATCACTTGAGGCATCACAGTTTTAGGATCTGAACTTAAAAGCTGCCTGCTGCAAGATAAACAGCTCATGTTAAAAAAAAAAAAATGCTATTCCAGAGAGGCAGGACCATGGAAAACAGTGGTCCTGATGAAAATTTTCCTACACTAATTTTAACAATTCACAAAGACGACAGGCTAAAAACATCAAAGAAGGCACTGCACAGCCTGGTTGTTTAAAAGTCAGTAGATGTAAGGGAGTTCCAGCTTCTATCCTGGCAGCTACAAAGCAGCTGTGAGCATCTGTAGCAATGGAGGGAGCAAGTGCCAGACCATTCCATCCCAGCTCCTGGAGCCACCAAACACACAGTGACAACGCACACTGCTCATCATTACTCTCCCCTGAAGTACTACTGCTGCCTGTCTTTTATCCTTGTTCCTAAAACCTGATGAATTTGTTGGCTAACATTTCTAATTATGAAGGGAGTTATCACGAAAACACTTGAAGGAGAACCATAACAACACAACACGATCCTGACTTTTTTTCTTTCCCTTACCCGCAAACACAGATTTCAGACAGCAACCAGTAGAACATTCCACTCTCTTGCCTAATAAATATTTTCATTCCCACAATGAAAAAAGATGGGAGTACAAGAAGTTGTTCAAGCACACCATTCTGTCTGTAATCACCATTGCAAAGAACAAAAGCTGTGCTGCAGGGCAGCTTTGGTTTTTAGAGCTAAGTTAGTTCCTCAGGTTTCCACACCACCTGGTATTTCTCAGAACTGTTGGACTTCATGCCACAAGCTAAAGCTGAAAGCACATGAGCAGCCATGGCTATGACACGCTGTCAAGACCAGTTTGCCCAAGTCCTTCACCACTTGGCAGCGAATCCCAGAAGCTACCTGCAGCCTAAGAAAATACAGAAACTAATACAAGGCAGGGCTCTGAAAGGTTATTTTCTGAATCAGAAGGTCTGGGCAAGGAACAGAAAGATGAAGTCAAGCTCGAGTACTTTGAATACTTACTGCATTTTCAGGATGGAAGATGTAAGATGCAGGAGAATTATCTACTATAATAACTTTACTCAGCTCACGTCCCAGTCGACTCAGATCCTTCACATAATTTCCTCGGTGGAAAACACAGGATTCTCTAAAGAGCCTTGCCCTGAACACACCCCAGCGATCCAGTAAGTCGGCCACTGGGTCTGCATACTTAAAAATAGAAGTCAGAAACATGGAGTTAGCAGCATACAGATAAGGCTGGTTCACAGAGCCAGGCGAAGGAGGGACATGAAATAATTTCAGACAAAATGCCCTTTCTCCGTTTTCTTCCCTGCTCCTCGTTAATTAACTTACTTGCCCGCAAACCTGAAGTGATTAATAAAGAGATAATGCAAAAGTAGGACAATTATCTTTCTGCAGAAGGCTAACTTGCAACTCTGATGTTTTCTGTGATTTATTGATTAGGTTTTATTCTTAGGGCCAACTTACAGTTACTGTAAGAGTTTTCCAGAGGTTGATGGATCCAGAGATCTCAACTAACATTACTGTAAAACCAGCCAGTGCTAACAGAAAATCTATAGGAAGCATTTCCACAGCTGATTTGTTTCCATGTGCCTCTAAATATAAACTGTAAGGAACACATCTGAGCCTGATGTGGCTTTTCCAAGTGATGCCCTTGGAGTGACTGGGTCAGTAAGACTCTTAAGGTTACCAAATTGCATAAATGGGCCACAGAGGATCAGACAAAGATGTTATTAGGAAAAATACCACAATACTAGAGAAATTCTCATTTTATACATAAGATGATACTTGAGGTGAGGCACAGCTTAGAATCCAACAATTGATATAAACTGACCAAGAAAAAGTATCCAAATAAACCAAAACATGAATAACCACACACTTGAAAGAGGTAGTTGTAACTTATTATTGCAGGCTAGGAGTTACCATTTTGCTATATTTTTTTTCTGTATTTTAAACTGAGAAAAAAAAACTGATGTTGAAATCAATCATCTTCTGACTATGAAAAATTAACAGACACCTTACTTCAGTACGAAATTGTTGCAGTATTTAGGATTTTTACAACACAACTGAACAGAACAGGGTAAAGAGAATTCAGGGTAGAATCCTCTGGTAGGAAGGCATTACAGATCAGGGTCCTGCCCCCTTCTACCATCACTAGGTTGCACTAAAAGCTTGCCATGCTAGAGCATTATTTAGAAATAACCAATATAACTTTACAAAACAAGACACCACAAATACAGTACACTGAAGGTGAAGAATTTTAAGATCAGTCCACTACTGTAACATCTACCACAAAACTACCTACGAACTACTACCGCTACTGCAGACCAGAGGGCACAAAATATTCCTGCTGACGTTTCAGGCTTTGCAAAAAAACGTCTCATTTTCCAACTCCAGATTTGCAATTGCACCTTGACAGAACAAAAAAAAAAAAAAAACAAAACAAAACAAAAAAAAAGACGTGTTCCCAATTTTCAGCAAATTTCTGAGTCACTGGTTGATCGTGCGGATGGCGTTTAATTCAGTGTGTTTTATTTCGTGCCCAGCTTTAATGTGCTGCTTTACTCGCACGCTATTTGTTCTAATTTCTCACTATAACCATGGTAACTTGTGAGCCTTTCATATTGGCATCATGAGCAATGCATGGAGGCTACATTATGAGACGAGCCCATATGTGATGGTGTTACCATGGAAACACTTACCCACACACTAGCAGACAAAGTACACACTGTCAGACAAAGAAGCAGAAAAGAAGGGGAAAAATTAAGATAGTACCAAACTGTGGAAATCATTATCCATAGAAAACCCAACCAAAAAGTCCACTGACCAGCACTGAAAAGGTTAATGAGATGAGGAGAGGAACAAACCTTGGCTAGACTGGCTGTGAAGAGTACACATTCAAAGAGCTCTCCCATCCTCTGAAGAAACTCATCCACATGTGGTCGTTTCAAAACATAAACCTGGAATGATAATGACATTTAGGTCAGATGGTGCTCAAGGAAAATTAAAAAAAAAAAAAACCCAACCAAACCAAACCACTCCTGCAATCCTAACACTTGAAAAACCAAAAAAGTTAACAGGGAAGCAGTTCAAATGAGATGCTGAAAATAAAAAAAGAAGTGCACAAGATAAAAGTAGAGATCCAATAATGAGAGATTGGCACGCACAGGCTGCCAAGCCCCATGCTGATTATGCCATTGCAAACACTGTGCATCATCTGGAGTGATGCTTCTGCAAAAATCTCATTAAAGGCAAAGAGAGACAGGAGGCCTTCTCAAGGAACGAGGATTCGTGTCTCTCAACCAAAAAACCATTTTGGTGCTGGTGCCTTTGGTGCTGAAGAGCTTTAGAGAGGGAATAAATTCGATGAAAACTCTGTGACGACAGGAACTGCACAACAGGGAGCTGTTTTCTCTCTGTGGCTAATTCTCTCATTTTTTTAAATTCCAGGTGCTAAGTACCATATCTCACCATGGAGAGTTATCAGTCATCCAGCTCTGCAGGGAGCTTTGTTCACCGAAAGCCTTCCCAGCACCACGCAGAATGTCTAAAAATGCTGTTTTCAAAACAAAGTCTGCAGCATCTTCTACGAGGAGCTTGCCCTAAAGATGGCAAATACTCAGGATCTCTCTCCTCTTGAGAGAGATCCTCTCAGCAATGCTGTACTGCCTTTTTGCACTGACATCCACACAGGCAGCTTGGCTGCCTATACTGTCAACAACCTGATTAACAGATATTAGGGCCTCCCTGCCTCTCTTTCCAGAGCAAGCAAGATGATTTTGCATTCAGAGAAAATACCAAGATAAGATAACTGCTGCTCAGAAAGCTTGGAAGTAGCTTACAACATACTGGGAAGTTGAAGAGGGGAGTCTGCTTAAAAAATATTTATCTATCTTGTTTGCAGTTAGATTAGAAGTTTGAGAGAAAACACTGGCAGCATTTTATCTTCTTTGTTTGGCAAATAATCCTCAATACTGGAAATTTCAAGTGGAAAAGTCTGGCATAGAACTGACTGAAATTTCAGGAATTTCCTTCCTTGACATGTAAAACTAGATTAATTTTATGTGTTTTACTAGCTTCATATTAATAAGAGGTAAAAGAATGGAGATACCCAGAGAAAAGGCCTGAAGGAGAAAAATACAGAAACAGCAGCTTGAATTGAAGTGTAACAATTAAAGCCTCCAGCAAAAGAAAAAAAGTGTGTAATTGGAAACCGAAAACCTCAGTCTGAAAGCAAAGTTTTATTAACAACATATATGATGGAGCTGCACCTCAATGACTAAATCAGAAATGTTAGTTACTCTTCTACTTTATTGTAGCATACAGATCATACCAGGAAGCCCTGACCTTCTTTAAGTTATTCCTATGAAATTTATCTAAACTATTTCTGGCCTCATAAACATTACATTCGAAGTTTGATACAGATAACAATTTATAACCCATATACATTTTTTTAAACAATGACAGCAGCACCTCACCCCTCAAATAACTGTGACATTTTATGAATTAAAGACAGTTAACAGATGTACTTCAACACCACTCTTTCCAGATAATTACAGCAATGTTTCCTGTATTCCACCAGGCATAAACCAAGTAGTTTCCTCCCCTATAACAATGCAATTAATTTTTCATTAATTCTTACTAAACAAAGTTGTTCTGTAGTATTTCCTCTCTAAATTCTATCTCTGAATTTGTTAAAGACACAGATAAAAAGACAGCTGCAGTCCCCCTGCTTTTGGGCACCCAGAGACTATCCAACTTCCCAGTTGTAAGAAGAAAGATAGCAGGATCCAAGTTACTCCTTAATAATGAAGATTTTAATTCTTTAGCCTTAAATTATATTTTTGAGGGCACAAAATGGACACCCCAGAGTCTTAAGTAGATAGTTAGTGCTGGAATTTAACATTCATTTCCCTTCTAAAGCCTAGTGTTTTCAGCCACAGCAAAAGAAGACTCCTCTTTGCTCTCCATCCCTATCTATGCCCGTGCTGGCGAAGTATTTCCACTTGGAATGTAATTACAAACTCCCTGCCAAGGATATGAACTTTGCTGCTTGCAACATAACCCACCTCCTCCATAAGGAGAGCACACAGTAAATCAACCCTGGAGCTGCAGCCCAAGAGCTCCCAAACCACAGGCTTGTGCTGTATTTGCAGGCAAGTCCTTGCAGGAAGTGCTCTTCTGGCTATTTGCAGGTCTCCTAATGCTGCACCTCCCCAGTGTTTAGCTGTAAATACACAGCATTTTAAGTTGTGCTGTCCCCCTTCTGCAGTTCAGATCTCCTGCTCCACCAAAGGGCACCCACAACCTCCACTACTTGAGTTTCTTGCTCTTTTGCCTTAAATCTTCCCTGCTGGGATCTGGCCAACAGATTTGCTTCCCATGTTAAATGCCTGATCAATAATAAATGTCATCTCTTAGGATGAAGTCTCAATAAACTTTCTCTTTAATTATTTCCCTCTGTAAAAGGCCTTAATTCCTCCTCCTCCCCCTTTTTTTTTTAACAACACTGAATTTTTTTTTCTTTGGCAGAACAACATATCTTAATACTTTGGATAGTTATTCTCCTTCAAGTTTTCTTTGGGAAGTCCTACTTAGCCCCTGGAAGCAACTCCGAGTGTACTGGTATCCTGGGCTACAAAATCTCTTTGGTTTACTTCACATAAAAAGCTTTCTTCAGCTGACAGTGCAGCTCTTTTCTCCTCTTCCTCCTCATTTGGAATTTTTTCCCCCTTTACTTTGTTAGTGGCTGGACTTGAATCTCAATGCTGCCTGGTTATTTGTGGCTTGGCTTTTTCTTCTGTTGCCTGATGGCTTCAGTTTAAGTCTCTAGACTAACTGGCTCCTGGTATTTTTCTGAGATTTATATACTGTCTTTAGGGCATTAAAAAAAATATATCCCTCCAATTTTTTTGTGTATTGTGTGTTAACTAATTTCTTCCTTATCACAGCAAGAATTTGGAGGAATACTGTCTTGTTTTTATTATTTAAAATGAACCCTACTCTCAATATGTTAAGCACAAATCAGGCAGTAGGCAGGTTTTCACAGGATTCTTACAGCTGCTAATGGCAGAACACAAGTAATTATCTTTAATTGTTCCCAAGCATTTTGTATTTCCACATAAATTTTCTATACCTCAAAGCAGTCTTAACCCAGAGAGACTCAGTATTTGTGAAACCAGAGGAGAAACCCAGCTCCATTTTGATCAATCAAATGGGACACAAAGAATTGCCTTCCAAAACCTGCTTTACAATAACAAAATCTACCAAGTAACGACCAAAAAATCTGCCCAGGACAACTCCAACTCCCGTGATCTCCCGTTCCGTGGGCTGGTGCATCTTCTGAGCAGAAAATAACACACGTCCTCGAGCCTCCTCGTGCTGGGTCACACAGTTGTGGTTGTCTCCCAGTGCAAGTAACCAAGAATAGGCCAGTTAGAATGGATACAGCCTATCCTGGATTACTTGAACCAGGCCACAGCCTTCCATAAGGAAATCCATGGATTTTGTGCTTTACAGAAAGGAAGTTTATTATTCAAACAGCGTTTTCCCCACACACTATTAAAAAACATTTTGTATATTACACTCAAAGTACGCAGGCCAAAGGTTTCTTTAGCTTTCAACAACTAAAACAAGCAATTGTTAACTGAAATTAAAAAAAACGAACACTAAAGCCTAGTTTTACTCAACAAATTAAATTTAAGAATGAAATTCCAAGTAACACCAAATCAAACTCCTCCTGGCTGCCTCCTTTTACACTTTGACACTGACAGCAAGGCACAAAGGCACTGCAAGCCATTTGGATAAAAGACAAAAGGACAACTATACCTTAAAAATCTTCCCTTACTGGGGATTAAAGCTACATTTAACATGCAGTTCCTGATCTGGGGGTTTTGGTCACTCTGCACTTGTTCAGTGGGAAGCAGCTCCAAAGGCAGAAGTTACATCAAGGTTGAACATCTTTCCCCAGCCACTACTTCCACCCTCAATAAGCCTCCTCTCAGTTGCAGCACATTTCACTGAACTTCCCACAGTTTATTCCTTATTATTTGGTAGAGTGGGAGACCAGCTCTGGTTTCCTTTTATCCAGAGAACCAGAGTGAAATGAGAGAACTGGCCAGAGAGGGTCAGCCCACATCAGAACTGCCCTGCTGTGTCCGTGCCATCATTCCCAACACAAAGCGTGGGATTCTTCTCCTGGAATTCCAGCTGCCCTCAGATGGGCACAGTCTCTGCAGGCATCTAAAGGCCCACAACAGAAAGAAAGGGAGGTGCTTCCACACGTGATTTATTTCCTTCTAAAATCAAATGACAAATCCTTCCCAAAGATAAGGTAATTCAGGCCAGAGTAAGAAAGATGGGAGAGGGAAAAGGGGTGTTCAGAAAAGCTGTTTTTTAATCTGGGAAGCTCGTTTACCCGAGCACCCTTTAAGATGATGAATTATCATCCCTATATAAAAAAAAAAGAGTTTCTCTGACCTTTGGATTACAAATTATGTAAGGGAAAACAAACTCCCCAAACTAAAGACAGTATTTTTTTTGAATACCTCTGTTGAACAGCAAAAAATACAGCATTTACCATGAAAAAACTTGTTGGGTATGCAAATCTCAAAACTCTTCCAAGTGCACAGCAACTGAATTTGCCACAACTCGTGTTTTTTGGTGCACGAGACCCCACCAATCTCACATTATTTCAAATTTCTCCCTGAATGGGCACTTCTGAAATGGTCGTTTCCCTGTTTGTTTTCCTTGGGGTTTTGTCTCTAAGGCAGAGTTCAATGACGACAATAAATCTGTCAGACCATCTCGTGCCTGATAAGGTACCAGGCTTACTGGTAAAGCAGGTAGGGATATGCACTGTGGACAGGATGGTTCCACAACATCTCACATGTCCCGTGGTGTTTTACACAGGTGGAAGTATTTCCCAAGGTCAATGATTAATCTTTGAGTGTATGAACTGCTTAAGAAAATGGACGAGCATTACCCAGATGACAAATTCTGAGAAATAACAAATATTGCTCATGTTTATGCTCTAAGTGACTGAAGAATTACAGGTTTGAGGCGGGAACAGGTTGTCAAAGCTCCACAGCCTGTGTTAATGCACAGACTCAGCCAGAATATCCCTTTTTGCCCTTTAGTTTGTCACAGTGTAAAAAGAAAAAAAAAGATTACTGAATGACAGAACATTACTTTGCCTACAGAGATGTTACAAACACAGACTTTGCTTATTCTGTGTGCCACGTAAATTACCTTTATTTCAAGAACCACAAATTCCTTACAATTAACTTCATTTTGACCACCCAAATGTGACTGAGGTATTTACCTATTTCAGAGATTAAGAACTGGATGTTTTAAGAGATTAAAAACTGGAAATACAAAAGGGATTAAGCAATTTCCTTGAAAATTATGCAGGAAGTCTCCAGCAAAGCACAGTCAGAGACTCATTTCACTTGATCTTCTCTGTCAAGGAGAAGGAGATGCACAAATCCACTCCCTCTGGCCAGTTGTGGGGTTTTTGTTTGTTTGGGGGTTGTTTTTGTTGCTGTTTTCTCTTTGCCCCCACATGCAGTCACCTCAAGTGCCAAACTGCATCACGTTTGGTGAAGAATCTGAGAGTTTGCAGCAGGGAATGGAAAAGCAACTGGCTTTTGAAGTGCTTGACTGTAAAGCCCAGATAGTCTTTTATTGAGATCTGTTTCAAAATGTAAATATATCACCTTGACAAGCTAAGTGATGAGAATTCTAAGCCACTCAAAAATTCACTTTCAAAAGCATTCTACAAAGTTTTAGGAGAGAAAATGTCTGTTTTACAGCACCAAACACAACTAAAGCCCACATCAAATCAGGATTGACAGTATCACAAATCTCCCAAAACATCACTTAGTGTTTTAAGCATCAGCTCTGCTGAACGTTACAGGTGTAAGTAACCTAGATATTGAGTTTTTCTACATGAAACAGGCACAGTGTAAAAACTGTCAAAGCAGCTATTACTTTAAAGCCCGTTTCTGTCCACTGACTGATATTTAGTAATTATTTTAAGAGTGACAATTACATGGGTAGTTTTCATAAGAGGAAATTAAATGAAACTATGAACTTTACGATCTATCAATTAGTCCAAGATTAAAATAAAAAACTCTCTGTCCGAGTAAAAATAATACATATAAAACCCCCCAACATTTCAACAATTACAGTTCTTAAAAATCTCCATTAAATCACATCCAGGGAAGATTTGCAACTCAATGACTGCATTATCTGTAACCTACAACACCCGGCAGAGAAGATGCTTCAAACAATTTGCAAGGCTCATGTATCAGAAAGGCTCAACTTCAAATTAACCTGTTTAACTCATCTCCAGCAAGAACTTCAATGTCTGTCTGAAGAGGAAAATTTATCACACTGTAATTTCTCTCATTCGGGGGTTTCAGAAAAGACTCCTGATTAAAGACCAAGCTAAAATACATGAAGGGGATTGATTTTCAAATTATGGGTGTTTTGCATTTACTGAAAACCATTTCTCAGAGCCATAAGTGAAGTTCTTAAAGAGTAAGACATAAAAATTAGTCTCCTCGCAATTTTGTCCAGACCTTTTAAAATATGCTGAAGTATATAAAAAAAACCTCCTATCAGAGGAACTTTTATTACTTACAGGAATAAAAGGGGACAGGAATTAAACACAGACTGCCACAAAAACCTGAGGAATGTCTGTTCTTCCTTACTACCTTTGTAAAGTTTGGTCCATATGAGCTACCAAAAGACGTTAAAGCCAACTTATGTCCTGTTTGCCTTGGAAGGAATGAGAAATGCAGTATTCAAGTAGCTTTTTCTGAGTTCTAGTCATGTTTGAAATCCCATTCTTAGATCATTTGCTGTTTGAAAATGTTTTAAAATGGACAAAGAATCAAGTATTGAAGTCCTGAGACAGAGCTTCTACCTGATCAAAGAGGGATGCCTTTCTGGATGGTACATTCCAGAATACACAGCTTCTGTTGTTTTGCAAACGTTACTGAATGCAAAGCAGCAAATGCAGGAAGAGAACACTCTGGGACACTCAGGACACGATGCTGAAGGAACAACAGCACTTACCTGATGTATGGTTCCATCGATTTCGACAGGAACGATGAAATCAGCATTGCTAATTGGCTGGAAAGAATGACAAGGAAACAACCAACATTAAAAACTCGATCATTGGAGGGAGAATTTCAGAGCTGTAAAAGGAAAGAGCACCTACTTCTCAGGAACAAGTTAATAAGCATTACTGACTGTACAAATTCACTCTGTGTGTGCTCTTCACACACACAAGTCAGAAGCCTCACAGTTGTATTCTTGGATGCTGCAATTCCCTCTTTTCTCATATTATATGGAGCTTCATACAACGTAATACACTTCACTGCCTGAATAATCCCCTCTACCACTGAGTCTGTTTACCAGGAAAACATCTATTTGGCTAAACTCTTCCATCAAGTCTGTGTGGATACTTGATAATCAAGAAAATCAGCTATGTGCTTCACATATTCTATTCTGGGTCATCAAGCAGTAATTAATTAAAAGTAAAGACAGTGGTAACAGTAATACCTAATGGTTATATCCGAATACAACGAGACTCAAGTTGTATAGCTAACTGATTCTCAAGATGCCACACTTCAAGAACCAATAGCAATCAATTTAATCATGTAAAATTGCATTTTAATTCCAAAGGGAAGAGCAGACACACTCTGCCCAAGTCCTTGAATCCACTTTTCTAGCCTGTCGATCACAACTTATTTCTTAAGACTTACTGAGAAAAATTGCTGGTCAAGTAAAACTGCTTTGGAAAGCAGGAAAGTGGCCTTGTAGGCAGCTTAAGAGTACATAATCTAATCTTGGCTAGACAGCAGTGGTAGTTGGGAACACGCTGCTAACAATGTTTACTAGTTCAAATGGACACCCAGCTTGGCAGAAGCCTTGGGTACAGCTCATGCTTTATGTCCATGATAAAAAAGTAGCCATGTAAACATGCCTGGCTGAAGCTTGTAACTCATTCCATCATCTGCAGCTTGGAAATGGCTGAGACAGAGCTGCCAAATACAATTTTAACATGACTGATTAACAGACAATATGCTCCATGGATAAGAGCCTAGAACGAGGGCTGGGAGCAGTCTGGTAACTGGTGTTACTAAGCTAAGGCTGGAAAACGTCTTCACTCAGCTCTACTACACTTGTACAGACCTTCCCACCTGGTTTTCTGGATCAGACTGATCTCAGGAACCACCAAGAAGACGCCCCTGAAGAATCTGTGAGACTAGAAACAGACTTCAGACCTACTCAGGGGGGCAAGGGGGTGCCAAGAAAGCAGAGAAGCAGCCGAGGTAAAGAGCAGATCACAAACTGGTGAGCCTCAACAGGTGCTCTGTGAAAAATGGTGGGAAAAGAGAATCCTGCAGCATGAACCTGACAGCATCACTTTGATCCCATTCCCTGGAGAAACAAGATTCTCACTGCACTATGACCAAACCTTCCTACGAGGAGAGCAAAATGACCGCAGGAATTTCTATGGAGGGCAACACCCTCTCTCAGGAGCAAAGTAATGAGGAAGATGGTTTGATCTGACACCTGGAAGTGCTGGGTCAGAGGGCAAAGGAGAGGCTGCATGGAATCTACTCATCCTGACCAACCAGTATTGGCAACCAGACGCTGGAGCAGATGATGCTGGAAAACTCTACCCTGCCGATGATCCCTGTGTGAGTATAACCTGAAGATTTCCTCAAATACACACAATTCAATCCAGATTTTTTTTTTTTAGCTGACACTGAGCAATTTCCCCTTTCTGCTTCGGGAAAAGACAGAGGGGAGGCTTCCATCTGTTCCCTAAATGGAGCCCCTCAGATAGAGGGGCAGCATGTCCAACAGCCACAGAAAAAGTACACAAAAATGTTCTGAAGCTTCACCTTAAAAAGAAACCCAAATGAACTGTCAATAAGCCTCAGCCACCAGTTTTCCAGTGGGTGCCAGCTCCCTGCAGACTTTGAAGAGGCTTGCACACACTTGAAGAATTTATATATGCATGACTCCCTTAAGCAAGAGAAATACTCTGCAGCAGCAGAAAAAGAAGAGGTCACTGCAAGCTACTGAGGTTTTGAAATCCACTGATAAAACTACAGCTTTTACAAAATTTAATCCTAACAGTAGCTACATCAACCAGATGTCAGAGAAAAGCACATTCTGTTTAAACAACTTCCATTTTTTTCCTAACAAATAAAAGCTCACCCTTAGACTTTGCAACACTGACCAAACCACTCTTAACTACATATTTGCTTCCTCCACTTAAATTTCAGGTACTATGTTGTTTTCTTGTTGGCACAAGTGATAAGGAAAGGGAGTATGGACTGGGGTTCTGTGCTTTCTCATGGTGGGGAGAGAGGAGGAAAGTCTCCCAACAATTTGCTGGATGAAGGTTTCTGGGGTTGTGCACGTGAAGCACGTACGTGCCTCCAGCGGGAACCACAGAGACAGAGCCTGAAAGGAGACAACGTATTTCCACTGAAAATCTTCAGTTAGAACTGCTTCTGTTTTAATAAAAAGTCAGCATTTTAAATGTTCTGAGAGTGTTTCACAGCCAGTTTTGAATACGACTGCATTCCAGACTTGCATGTGGTTTAATACATTTTACACAAAACCGTGTTTACATCTCCTTGATTTAAAAATTTATTACTTTTGCTTCTATTATTGTTTCTATGATGGGAATGATAACTATCCTGTCTATCTATTCCTTTTTTACTCTTGCCAAGGAACCCCAAACTTTATTCCTTTAATATGCACCTAACATGAAAGACTAGTACCTCCTTAAAGCTTCACAAATATGCAGGGGCATAAAACAGATGAGAATTACCCTCCTTCAGATGTTGCTGCTTTCATAAAAGAGCACTTTAAATATTCTGCCTCTCTGGTTGTGTTAAAAAAAACATGTAATCTGCATTTGAAATATGAAGCCCATTTCATAACAGAATTACGAATTCTGTTATAAACCCTTTTTTGTACTAAAAATCACAAATTTATGTATGCTTTTCCAGCTTTTAAGTGGAGACCTGCTTGGTTAGAGCAGACATGTTTTAATGAAAAAAAAACCACCAAAAATACCCCCAAAACCCCACAAACTAAAAGAAATTGCAGAAGTAACTCGATTATCCAGGTAGAGCAGGGTGCACAGAAGGGTTCAAACCCCTGTTCTGCTGGAACATATTATTTTTGATGATAATTAATGGTCTTGATTCAGTTGAAGTATTTCCCTTTCTGAAACAAAACCCAAACAGCACCACTGGACAGTGCCAGCCACTGAACAATTAAAGCCATTTCCTCCAACACTTGGTTTTCTCTTACACACCCCCCTCACAGGGTTTTATATTAAGATATAAATATTAAGATAACACACCTTTGTAACCATAAGACTACTACTGCAGAAACTCCAACATCTGCCTAACACTACTGACCTCACACAAAAATGGAACAGTTTTCTTTTCCTAACACAAAAAATTATTCAGTGCTCATCATTAAGTAGAATAATAGTTTAATTTTTTAAATATCTATTTAATATCATTTAAATGCCCATTAAATATAATTTGAATGTTACCCACAGCATTCAGAAAGCAAACCTGTATTTCTACCTTTCAGATAACACTAAGCCTAAAACTTCATTATTATTATTATATAAATTTAGATTTTTAAATTCAGCTTTCCCTCCCTACTTTTGATTTTTGGTAAAATGGGATGGCATGCTTCCTCCCTTCCCAATCCAGCCGTGTTTCTCATCTCCCTGAAAAACTCCCCAGTGCAAGCTCAGTCTGGGTACAGAAGACAAATCTGGCACTGAGGTTGAGGGGTTCCTGTGCACCACACCATAAACTGTTATATACCATCAGGCACAATAAAGTCAGAGAAAAATCTTAATTTCAGTTTGAGGCAGAGGAGTATTTGTTCTAATATCTCCATATAAGGTTTTCTTTAAGCCAACAAAGACAGCCTGTTGCCAAATTCTAACCACAGCATGAATTACAGTTTGCATTTTAAATGCTGGCAACTAACTAGTGAAGGATTAAAAAGTGGTGTTTAAGCCAGCAGTGAAAAATGGAGTGCAACAACTAGAAGAACATGAAGGTAGTAATTTTAGTTTGCCAGTAGTAAGGTAACTATTAATACTCATAAATTCTCCAATCAATGTATAAAACCAGCAGATGCTTTATCATGTATTAGGTTTGCTAATCAGAAATGCTGTCAGTACTCTGAGCCAACGGATTATTCCTGAAGCCTCCCAATTTCAGCACTACTTAAACAATCGAAAAATACCTCTACTTCCACCACCTGCTGAAATCTGAGGGGTTATAAAAGTTGCTTCTCAAAGGTGACTGATTCAATAGCAACAACTAAATGGTATTTGCTTTCTTGCTCTGAGAACTATATATCAAACCCATATTTCCATAGCAACACATTTTTTATCTGTTAAAATACAGGTTCTTGCTGAAATACTTAAAGCCATGAAGTCAATACCTACTCCAGGCCTTGTTGCAGCCAATGTGACTGTCTCAGAGTCAAAACATAAAAAAAAATATGTGTGTCCCTCCCCTTACAGCTAAATTAGGATGAATAACCATAGAAGCAGCAACGAGAACTCCCAGGCATCCTGGGAGAGCCTGTAAGACGAGTTCAAGTGTTAAGAGGTTTAACAGTTCCTGCAGCATTCACTGACAGATTAAAGCTGCAAGAGATCACTTTTGAATTTACTTACCTTAAATGAACTGTGCACTAAAGTTTCATCTAAATCAATGACCACACACTTCTTCCCATAGTCTGATGCTGTCAGTTCTGGCAGGAGGTATTTAGCTGGTGGCTAAAAACACAAAGACAAGAGGAAGACAACAAAAAAAAGTAAAACCTCTATCCAAGGGGCACTCTTCTGTCAACATTACTATTCTAGCAATTACTGGGAGCTGGAATACATGACTTGAAATTCAATGCCTTTCTGGGATCATCTCAAGTACACATATGGAAATTAATGGTTCATGCAATTGCAATACCAATACAGACTTTTTTAATATTATTTTTTAAACGAGAGGTTTGTTTGGAATGACCTCCAAAGCACTGGAAATGAAAGTGGTAAAACATCATCACTGGCTAAGAAAACCCAGGGAGAAATAAGACATTTGATACAAAAACATCTTTTCGTAGTGACCCCTTCTCCTAATGCCTGGTTTTGGTTGCTGTTGTTATCCTATTCCCAACAATGCCATTTCCAGCCATATCAGGCTGAGGGACATTTACACAAATCGTTATTTCTCTTTGCCAGGAAAGGTGCTAAAGTGGAGGAATCCATCCTGAAGGGAGACAGCATTATTAATTTTTATCTTCTGGGACATGTCTTCACTTTCATTTGCACCACTTGTGAGGGCACTGACCAAATTTCATGTGGATTATGCTCCCAGGCAAGGCATTAAAACTGCAGTAAAGAACCTAAACTAGGCTCTTGTACAGCATGCTGCCCTTTCTGAAAAATGGTACCAATTCCTTGAATTGACAATTTTTCTGAAAGCAATGCAGACAATCTCATATTCTTTGGATTGCTCATTTCCCACTTTAACACCCCAGTTAGCAATAAAATTATGGTTACTTTAGATTTTAGCACTGGATACTTCCTGAAATAACAGAAGTGGGAGAGAAAGCTTCCATTTGGAGCTGAAACACTGCTGCCTCTCAAAGAGGGTTTTTTTTTGATGAAGGGAAAGGATTAGTTTTATGGAAAAGTGTCAACAGGGAGAAGCTCAAGACTGAGAGGAAATTAAATTAATTTAAAATTGGGTACAGAACTCTAACTTCATTCTTTTGCTACCTTTTTATCTGTTCATGCAGTGTAAGGATGCATCTATCGTGGTTTTGTTCCTTTCAGCAGCCCTTTGGAGAGGTGCTGGCAGGGATCTGAGGCCACCCCTGTGCAGGTGACACACAGGTTGAGTCAGACACCTCCACACACCCTCTGGCTGCCAGGACAGATCATCAACCACTGACTGAATTCAGACCTTAAGCTGACAGACACTGGCCAATGATGCCTAATAAGTTCTTGTTTAGAGGAAGCACCTAACAAATGAGATTCTGGACTTAAATAAGTGTCTTTAGCTAAAACAGACGTTCTTGGGGCATTTTTAGGAGTGCTCACTGCAATTGATTAAGTTCCTTACAATTAACGACGACAACAGTTCCTTCAGCTACCAAACTGGAAGCTGCCTTGTGTACAAGCCACTTGTCTCAACACATTTTCTCTCAGCACAAATCTAACAACAACCTTCAAGAAAAAACAACTTCTGCCTAATGCCTGTAATGGACCCAATCCATCACAGTCACCCAACCAGGCTCAAATTTATAGGACACCCTTTCTAGGTTATATAGACAGTCCCACAACTGCTTCAGCTCAAGCTCTGCTTGTTGGCAACTAGGGCCAGACCTAAAGAATTTTAGTTTCTCACTCCTTGACTTCAAAGCCTAAAAGGTATTTAGCACCCCACCTCAATTTTTCACAGCAAGGAGGATCCAAATTTGCAACCTGAACAGACCAAAAGGTTACTGAAAGAAAAATCCAACCCATTTAAAGACAATAATCTTCAGAACCTGTGTTTTGATAGTGATTTCTTGTCTTTGAAGATGCAAAAAAAGGGAGGAACATCCCAAGAAACCTTAAGCATATTTTTTTCTTTTTAAATAATAGTTCAGTTCATTTTTGTACTCTTAGAACTGTATCTAGTTCAAATTTTTGACTACATTAATCTGCACCAGCAGTTCAAAGCCAGAAATTCCTTCTGCTATATGAATTCTTTATCAAACTGAAAATACCTATAGCTATGAAAAATATATGGGAATATTCTTCCATATAAAATTATGCTATGAAAAATAGGAGCCCTGTCTTATCAAAGATATCTTTAGTTTTTTTATCTGGAAACTGTTATGCCTGTCATCAAGAAAAGGATGGACATCTATCAGGGACTGACTACAAAATGTGATAACCTGAATTCCTTGACTGCATCTGAGACAATCCACGCCCATCTTCTTCAATCACCTGCACCCTCTGCTTTCTCAAAAGCAGTGATAAGAGTTTCTCTCCCTTTTCAGTATTGCATTAAGAAATAATGTGCAGTTATTGACCTAACTTTACCTAACAAGACTAACCCTCAAGGTTTTTCCTGGGGAAACACCAAGCCTCCTACAAGCTTTGGCATCTTGGGTTTGATCTGATCCAGCTTCCCTAAGTTCACACATTTGAAGTTCAAAAGAAATGTGTTTCCATTTCACAACCTGTGTCTCCATTGCCCTCAATTGTGAAAACACATCTGCACCCCTGATAATCTAACAGGGATAAGGAAACTATTCTGGAGCTGAAGTCACTACAAGTTGTGAGGCTGCTAAATAGCTGGTGTAGGACTCTGGAGCACGGACGACATTTTTGAGGCTTTAGGAACTTAAAGGATTTGTTTGTAAAGTATCAGTCCATTTGTTTTGCTGTTCAAGCTTTCTGATCTAAAGCAATTTCCACATGCCAAGAGTAGCAAAGCTTTGAGGCAGAAACAAGCATTACTCAACACTGTATTTTAATTTCTTCATTAACAGAGACATATCCGAGAAGAGTTCTAATTACCAGATTTCCACCATAGTTAATAGTTATGGATCTTTTATAATTTCTTTTTTTTTCCCCCACATAGTAGCTTTAAAGACATCTAAGATGATTAAGAATATTTAATAGTGGCTAACAGCAACTCATATTTACTATGCAATACTCTCTGAAAGGCTGCAGACTTCCACAGAACTCAGCAGAAAAATAACACGTGGTCTCTCAGTACTGTTAAGTCCTAGCTTGGTCTTCAATTCCAACAAGACATAAATTGTATACAAGTTAAACTAGTCACTGTTTGGGATTTATGCATTCCAGCCAGGTCTCATGGCTGATCAGCTCAACAGACCTTGTAGTGAAACGACTGCTGCACTGCTTCAGTCCCGTGGAAATAGTATATTCCCTAAGAAAAAAAAAAAAAAAAAGGGGGTGGTGGTGGCAAGAGAACAGGACTTTTGGTTGAAGCATAAACAGCTGGTCAACACAAATCTTTCAGAAATTTACTGTATAAAACAATCATCAACTTTCTTCCCTGTAGGCCCATATTTCCCACAGAGACAAGTATCAGAATTAATAAGCCCTTTTTTGTTTCCTACACTGGCAATGTTGTCGAGCCTAAGTGCAGCACACTAATTCACTGTTCGTGTTCCCTTCAACTCACACTCTGGGTTGCCCTCCACAGAGTTAACAGCTTCTCCCAGCAATTACACAGAGAAATACTCTTACAGAAGATAAATGATTTCTACTTAGAACACAGCTGCCAGGAGATGCCAGTTCCTGTTATGGAACAGGCAGTTCCCAAAATTTCTTCTATAAGTTATAACAAGGAGTTGTCTAAATGTACGTGAGGACAAGTGAAAATCCCAGTGATAAGATTTAACTTCTGCAGGGATTCTGAGGGATAATTCTGGTACCAATCCTTACCAGTGGTATTTTATACTGAACAACTATTCAGGATGTTGCACGAGTGTGGCTTCATATTTCCATCTACCTCTTTGTTCAAAAGAATTAAAAACAACAAAGCTGCTATGGGTCTACTTTGATTTAGGGGTTGGAACTAGATCACCTTTAAAGTCCCTTCCAAACCAAACCATTGTATAATTATATGAGATACAAACAGGATGAAGTTCATATTTTAAAAACCCCCAAAGTAATGCTGGTTCTATTTTCTGAAGAATCTAATCTAAAGCTGGAATCTTTCTTCCTCAGCAATTACCTCTATCAATAACCAAGCAAAAAATCCATATTAACTCAATTAACTTTAAATTAATTGCAATTAATACAGGACAAATCTGCTTAGCAGAAGATCTCTTTCAGCATTGCACGTACAAATGCATCGAAAAGCAACACAAAACGCACATAAAGCAATGGAAGTTTTCAAACAGGTGATCTCAGCAGACAGCCAGGTTTTATACAGGCATTATAAAGCTCCAAAAATCCTCCTATTTTGACTGGAGGTTTCCACTTGAAAGTTTATTGAGTGGGGGAGTGGACAGAGCACTTTTCAGAGTCACTAAGGGGTTCTCTAAGCACTTGAAGTGATGACATTTGCAACGAGCCTCGTAAAAAGTAAATGTCCACTTAATTGTGACCAAGCTCACTCTGTGTTTAGAAGATTTTCCTCCTGGTTTGTATGAGCCACACAGTTCAAACAGCCCAGTTCTCACCCCTATGTAGCAGAGCATCAAGAACTTCTGCCTTAATGGGTCTCAAACACACAGTTCAGATTTGTCTCAGAGGGACCCACTGGACAAATAGCCCTTGGAAGACTGCCAGAGAAACACTAATTTTAGGTGGTTTTTTTCCTAACATAATGCTGCATTTTCTTTTCTACCACTTTCTCCACGTGCAGCTCACTTGTGCCTTTATTTAGATGATGACATACTAATGCTGGCTGGGCCCTGTCTGACAGCCAGGAGCACTGTGATACTGGAGAGTAAATGTCACACAACTGCCCGCGGGCGATGGTTGCTTGACAACACTCCCAATGTCCTGCTGGAAGGAGCATCAGATGGCACCAGGGAAGGGGAATTAGTGTGTTTTAAAGTCACCTGCTCGCTGAGAACTCTACGTCATGACTGCAGAGATAAGTTAATTTTACTGCCTTATTAAAGTGCTGGGAATATAGGTTGGCAAAATTACAGTTGAGCTTAAAAAAAAAAAAAAAAAAAAGGAGGAAAAAAAAGAAATCCCTTCTTGAATCATTCATTTCCCTACCAGTACCCAAATCTAACAGAGCACTGCTTTAACACTGCAAAGACAATGTCCTAACAAAGCATCTCATTTCACTGCTGTACCTGTCAGAGCTGTACTCATTTATAATTTCAAAATTTTGTTCTCTTTGAATTCTTTTTCTGTTAATACCTACGCTCACTCTTAGCAAAGATTTTATTCCAGGTCAGAGCACAGCCAGAACATGTTTCGTGTTCAAATAACTACCAGCAGAGCAACAACAGTCACCTAACTGAATTTGGCAGGTATGTAAAAAGAAAAGTAATTCAGGAATCTGTATTTTCATCCATCCAAACTTTTCTATTTCTAGACTTGCATACAGATAAATTCCATGCGTGTACATGCGTGTGTATTCAGACACACAAATCTATGCATGAGCCATATTACAAATATCAGGTAAGAAACAAAAAGTAATTCCCAACAGTTCCTAAATCCAAGAAAAACTGGTGAGAGAGGGAAGATGTGCACAGACACAGTGAGCTCCTGACACTTCTGCTCTGCAGCACGGACAGGGTTCTTACAGGGGGTTTTGTAATGTTGGGCTACATGGGAAGGAAGGGAAAGAAGAAAAAAAATGGCATCTTGGGGAGTATCCAGGTCTTTAAAGGCTACCAAATATCTCAAACAAGAGGGCTGGGTCAGTAACTCCGCACATCAGCACTGCTATTTTCTGGAAAACTCTGCATAATAAAGTATTATAAACAGCAAAGGAGCTAAAAACAAAAAAGTATTTTCAGATTTACAAAGCCTAAGCCTTCATCCTCATTGGAAAAAAAAAGCAAAAAAGAGCAGCTTTTTGACCAAAAAAGGTGAAAACTAATTAAACTAAAAGCTTCAGTTTGAAGAACTTCTTTTTTTCCCTTCCTTTTATTTAGCCTTGAGAAATAATTCAGATGCCAAACAGCATTCCAAGTTTAATCCAGGCAAAATAAACAGAAATACTAAGGCCCATAAAACAGCGGCTGATACCAAGAGCATCATCTCAAACAAGGGCAGTAATGCAGCTTTAGTCAGTTTTCCTGAAGTGACTTGTTTCAAATAAGTTTCACAGTTTCTAACTCTTCCTTTCAACTGGAATACTGGGAAAAATGAGAGGAAAAGGTTTTTGTAACTGTGTCTCACATAGTGGTGATGAGTCACCTTTTGCCTCTATTAAAATAAGTAACTTCAACTTTTAGAGCACTTCAAGCATTTCCAAAATGGTAAAAATTCAGATGAAATCCACATAAAACCCAAACTCTTCTTTTAGTCCCTGTGGAACACATGCAGTTCAATTCATCTCTGAGTATACAACATCACAGACAGAACATAAAATCCTTTTGTTAACATGCAACACAAAACAGACCTGTTAGACTGCAACATAAGATGAAACAAAGCAAAAGTTATGAAAATTATTAAAAGAAAAAGGGATAAAAATACATACACTTGGTATAGGCATGACCTGCATCTGGTCACCCTGGGGAAAAAGAAAAAAAAAAAAATCACTGTAAGGGTAATGGCTTTTAAAGGGTAGAACAAAGGTCTGGAGCAGTAAATGTAGCACTCAAACATTTTAAACCAAAAGTTCAAAGTATTCAAGAAACCAGGGTAAAAAAAATAAAAACAAGGTCTTGCATTTTAGTTGCTGGAATGATCTGTTAGTACACTGGTATTTATGATTTTTAGGAGACTGGACTGGTAAAACCCATGCTATGATTAATAAGAGATGGCAATTAGAAAGTACCTGTATTTACTGTAACTTTTTCAGCTTTAAGATCTACTAATGGGTATATTTGTCAGTTTTCACTGCAGCAGCAAGAGGCTGAGCCAGACCTTGGTAGCAGGGCAGAAACCCACTCCTTGAACTGAACTTCACTTGAGACAACCGACTCAGAAAAAACAGCATTTTTGCCCAGGCAATATAAAAACTAACCCAAGAAATCTCACTTTCTTCACCCAGAAAGAGGCAACAGTATCAGAGCTCTTCCCATGGCCTCGCTTTTTGTTATGTACTTGGGAGAAGGCAAGAAAGTCTTGGCCAGATTGACTTCTTCTTCCCTTCCTGGGTCCTGATATACAGAGACAAGGACAGCCCCAAAATGGAGAAAGGCTGGTCACAGGGTCAATGACCCAAATACGTAAGGGATTGTGGAAAATGGGGACAAGTATTTGCTTTTTGGTAGCCACAGTACAAAAAAAAAAAAAAAAAGGAAGCTGATCCTTCTAGCATAGATATTTCTTAGGTAGGTGATTTAATTCTTGAATACTTGGACAAAAACAGAGGCTCTGACTTCCAGCAGAGCAATTACTGAAAGAGCTGTTTTCAACATTAGCATGGCCTCTTCCAGCTGAAGAAGTCTTGTGCTTACTTGTTTTGATGTCTTACTACAGTGTTGACACATCTCTGACAAACAGAAGTAATTCAATATTAAAGTCCTCTTTTTTTAGTGCTAAAACATCAGAAATTTTTACTGAAGTTCGACCAAAATCCTGAGAAGCTGAAGAAGCAACTAGAGAGCAGCAACTACCACGAACTATCAAAACCTTTGCACTAGTAAAAAGTACCAATGATTTCTAGAAAAACACACACATAAACTGGCAAGAATCCAAGTTTCCCTCAGGGCAACAGCAATAAGAAAAGAAAAAGATTATAATTCAGTACGTTGATGTTCTGTTAGCAGAACTGACTTCCATGGGAATCCAGAACTGAAGCTGCTACAGGACTTGCATTACTGTTTGCTTTATTTTTCTCACAGAATTTCTTAAATAAATAAATAAATAAATAAATAGATAGATAAATAAATAAATAAATAAATAAATAATAAAAAAGTAAGTAAATTTCCTAAGAGGAACTCTAAAAGAACCTCTGCAAACATCAAAAAGGTAAAGATGAGAACAGCAAAAAACAAGCAGAAAGATAATTGCACGAGTCTGCTGGGAAATTGCGAGTGCTCACCAACAGGCAAATGTTTTTTAAAAACAAGCCTGCTATGGGAAACTTCTTAAAAGTGTCCTGCATCATTTCCTAATGCTTTGGAACAGGAAGGGGAATAGGTCATACCGGTATCGTTTGAAATACATGACAGATGGACTGCATTTGTTGAAGGCTTTCCACGAGCTCCTCGTGTTGGGAACAGGACAAAGCTGTTCCTAGAATGCCAAAATTTCCCTATTGTATCGCTAAAATAACCCAGGGACTGATTTGTCCAACCATTGAAATCAGGGTTGTTTCTTTTTCACGGCACACTATATACAGATGAAATGATAAATCCTATCTTTTCCCTTAGCTGTGTAATTTTGGTTTAGAGACACAACATTTCCAGCACCATGTCGTTCATTAATGCTGTCTGTGGTCCTGTGTGGGACCAATGAGCACCAAGTGACAGGTCACATTATTTTGCCTTTTTTTTTTGAGAACAGTCTGTATTCAAAGATAAGGAGCTGTTTTATTTTAGAGAAAAATCTGTTATTTTGATCAGCTTCATCATATCCATTTCTTTAACACAAAACGTATCCTAGACCACGACAGGTTCTTTAAAAACAGTAATATAGTTGCTATTGGACTCTTTCATTGACTTTCAATATCAAGCTTTGTCTTTTAACACAGAGGACTTTTTGGGAGGCAAAGAAGGTCAGACTGAGTGACTAGTGAGAGAGGAACCAAGCACAGCTATGTAGAGGGGGGTTTGTTTTCTAAACAGATCTTCCATACCACATGTTGATGTTGGCCAACAGAACCAAACATCAGGAACTTTCTTGCTCAGATCAGCAAAGGTTAAGCAGGAGAAAAAGTACTAGGATTTACATTAATCTCAGTTATCTTCTTCCACACTGGAGAGTGAGACTGGCTTCCACATCTGTTCAGAAAGCACGTCACTGATGGTCTCCTCCTCAAAGAGAGCTCGTGCTGCTCCTCAAGGTCTCCTCAATGAAGGAGATACTACTTTGCCCTCAAGAACGTGCTCCCTACAAGCTCTTTTTCTCATTTTGCTGGACCATATTCATGTGGGATAGAGAAGATCCTTTTTCCTGTACTGTGTTAAAAACAGATTCTTGAAGCAGAGAACAGTGTTGGAGACATGACCATAGGTCATCAAAACAGCTTTCCAGCATCACCTTGGAAGATGATGGTGCAGCAAAAAGCAGTAGGGAGAAGGAACTCTGACTTTTGTAGTCGTTAGGATGGGTGAGGTGGGAATGCAGTTACTGGGAAAGCAGCAGGGGCAGCTGCTGCCCCCAGAATAAACCTCCTCCTAATTCTGTCTTCTTCCCTGTTGAGTGTGGATCAAGACCTTCTCCTCTACTCCAACAAGTATAAAAAAAACTTCCCTCATTCATACTTCATCTCGTTAACACGAGCCATCTGCCTGATTTGGATCTCACTGTGAAACAAAAGCAAGGATGACTCCAGTGGAAGTGGGTTGTGAGTGAAATGGCAAAGTGCCGATAGACTTGTCAGAGCTGCCTCACCCACCAGGGCTGAGAGCAGAGGGAACAAAAAGCTATTTTGCATCTAGCTGTTTTCACCTCTCTCTATCTGGATCCCACTCCTTGAAGCCTGAGTGAATGAAATCTGTTATCTGCAAACACCTCAAAACTCAGATAACAGACTTACCCCAGAAGGAAAAAAACTTACATCCAGAAGCACGCCCAGAAAACGCACAAATTGAGTCAAGTTGCCAACAGAAGAATAGGAATTAAGACTTGAATTTATTCAGAAGAAAACAAAAAACAATTCCCCTCTTCCAACACTCTGGCCTCTAAACAAAAAAATGTGGCTGGAAGGTGTTGGGGAGCTGCCTGCTGCTGAGGAGGCAGGAAAAAATTACCAAGGGTTTCATGAGGCTGAACATTGTGTGCTCCCAGTGACACATCTGGCTCAGCATCCAAGCTGCAGGCAGGCTGATATACCCACTGTCACAGACATTACATCTCCACAATACATCTTCGTGCTGTGCTAAATAGCTGCTGCATTTTAAGAAAAACAAATATACCACAGTTTCAGTAAATACAAGTTATTGTTGAAAAAAATGTTGTATTGAAACTTTAGAGACAGAATGGACCATTCATTACCAGTATTAGAGTCACACTTGGACAAGCAGCTGCTCTGTGAGGAGAAGGTTTAAAAGTGAACTCAATACTTCAAAGAAGTTTTTGGGCTTTTTTTTCCCCCTAGCAGAACAGAAGTCAGTGCTGAAAAAAATTGTTTATTCAAAACCATGCTTAATTTGGGGTTTCTTCCAATCCTATGAAGAAGTGACATGACACTTGACATGTCAAGCATCATCAAGTCACATCATGAAGCACTGATTAATCTGAAGCACTGATTTCATTTTTTCTAGTACAGCCAAATAATAATAATAATAATAATAATAATAATAATAATAATAATAATAATAATAAAATCACACAATGCAATTACTCTGAACAAAATTTCACAACTGTGTTTGCAATTACTTTATAGAATACTCTCCCCTGCTTTCCTTCCTTTTGAACAGGTCAGCATTTAAAGAATCAAGATTCCTGATTAGAAGGGAGTCAGCTTGTCACATCAACTTCAGGTTCAAGAATATGCCAGAAGCAACACAGAACAAACACTGAATTCCTCTGAAACCAGCAGTTGTCCTCCCCACTCCTTCCCTTCCTCTGAAGTCTTTATCACCAGTTTTCATGTAACAACTCCACTGAACAGTAAAGACAGAAGGAAAGTACATCCAAGCCATTTTATATGAGTTTCTAGTGGTAACTGTTTCTTGAGCAATGTTCTTTGTCCATTTTTGAAGGAAAGGGTCACAACACATGAGCTGACTGGGCCATGGCCAGGGGTGAACTGTGATGTGGTAATTAATTTATAAAACATACAAATCAGATAGCAGATATAAGTAAGTGATCATTTGAGCAGCAGTTCAACAGAATTCTAACCTGGCAATAAGAATAATGCAAAAAAGACCTTTGATTTAACAGCAGAGGGGTTTAAGCATGTGTTGTCAACCTTTATTTTTTTTCCTGAAACAGGTAATTTGGTCATTCCTGGACACTTAATTTCACCAATTTAGAATCCAAAGCCCACTGTTGCATGTACTTTCCCCCATTACTTATAATTTCTGAATCCAGACAAGATGCTCAGTGTAACTCCATCGAATTCAAGCAGCCTGCACAGTTCTAAAACAGCTCTCCTGGCAAAAAGCACCACCCTGACAGGGTAACAATATTCAAACATACCCAAGTCTTCAACGCTCTTTTTCTTTCTTTAAAGAATTTCTTATTTACACTGTGTTAGTACTCAATAAAAACAGCACATAAAAACATAGACAAAGCTTATTAGTCTTTAATACTGCATTTAAAATAGCCATGTCACAGACTTATTTTACACTGAAGAACCACCTAAAAGTTCAGCTGTATTTGATTTCTTCTACACAGGTTTGAGTATTTCTTCAACAAAAGTTTGAACTCTCTTCAACATGTTCCTTCAATTTTTTAACTCTCTTAAGTTTTAACCCTGGTAATTCTATGAATGCTTCTCTTCCACATACTCCTTGAAGTTTTTCACTCAAGTTTTAATCTGCTAATTCTACGAATGCTGTGATTTGTGTCTTGGTCTTGTGTACAAGTGTTGCACAGCTCCAAAACTGCTACACTGAGGCAGAAGAGTAGAGATGGAAACTTGTGTGAACACGAGCCAATCACTCACTCGAGGCCTAAGATTTATTTAGAAAATAATTAAGTGTTTTAGAAAATACAATCTGGAAACTACCGACTCCAGACCATTTTTACTCATGTTTTCTGTAGCAAAAATAAACTTTGTTTTATGTTTTTCTTTCTAATGAACTCCCATTCTCTCTCAGCTGTAGTTTTGCCAGTAGTCTCACTTCAGCCTACTTTCCATTCCCCAGCACAGTGGAAAGGGAAATTTTATTAGTTTCCCACTCCTTTTGTTTCTCAGATGAATGTGTGTGCACATGCTACACACTACTCAGCTTTCCCTTCAGCACATCCAGGCTGGATTTCCCTCATTTCAGTCAGAATGTACCTTGGCTAGCAGAGTAAGTCTAAAAATACATGTACAATTCCTCCTCTTGGCAGAATTCTTAGGGCACTTCACCTCTGCTTGAGCAGTTTCAGCATGAACTGCTCCAGTTCAGACTTCACCTCCACACGTACTCTCAGTCTCCATCACTTTAATCTGCTTTCACCAAGCAGTTCCTCTGCTCTTTCTCCTGAGCTTTTCAGAATTCAAACATAACCAGCAAAATCCAAGCCAGGATAAAATGGACTGGACAAAGGTGGGTAAGGAATCCGCTGCATCAGACATGAAAAATTAGGTGAAAAGCAGGAGGGTATTTCTGTGATCTCCATTTCTGCTATTATTCCCCACCATGGATACACCTATATCTCCAATTTCAAAGTCCTGGAAAACTGTATGGGAAAGATGGCACTCCTGTGTTTGCCATATTGAACTGAAATTCTTCAGTTCATAAGACAAACGCTCTCAGTGTTATCAGAATTAAAAAGAACATATAGAATCATTATGTGATTCTATGAATATGGCAAAGCAATGTAATTAATTACTAGAATTCAATCAAAGTAACATTTTGCTGTCACACAAAATGCTTTGAAGTGCTAAAATTTCTATCAGTTGATTTATTAGGTAAACAAAGCTTAATAATACGGAAAAATGGCCAAAAGCTGATAATTCTGGATTCAGCATGTATTAAACAGAAGTGAACTGCTTAGGGAAAAAGGTCCAAATAATGGTTCTCCCTCTTGTCGATTTGGTTTTTTGTCACTAAAACCCTTTCTAAGTGATATTTAAAAGGTTCCACTACGCTCCAGTGGACACATTTTAACCTTCCTGTAATCAGGAAAGGGAACCAAAGCCAGAGACAACTCAGCAGCTGAAATTTTATGAGAAGTCTACTTTCTTGTAGTGTCTTAAGTCAGGTTTTAAATGTTGTTTGCTTATAAAATTAATACTGCCAACACTGTCTACGGAAATAGTGCTTTTAAACTGCAGCTGAATAGAAAACATTAGCAATTCACTATCGAGACAGTAATTTTTTTCTCTAAATCGTAACAGGTTTCCCTCAGGTTAGGACAAACCTTTGGGAGCAGAGTTAAACCTTGGTTACAAAAGAGCCGTATGACAGCAAAATAAGATAAAATCCTGACCTTCTGAAGTCCTCCATTCTCCTCCACCAAAGGAGGCAGAGCACTGGTGCTATTGGTAGATGGTGGTTCGACATTGTAGTCACGAAAGCAGCAGAATAAGGTGCTAAAGATACTTCGACTCCTCTGCTTCTTCAAGCTGATATTACATTGGGACACTAGAGAAAAAAAAACACACACAGCAGAAAAATAAATTCATGTATACAGACCTGGTTTTCCAGACCACAACAAGTGCATTTAAGACGTATAGTTATTATACTCAGAAGTCTTCAGCAAGATAATCCTACAGAGATTCTCCATCATGCTGAGACCCACTTCCAAATCAACACATTTTTCCCTTGTTAGACTCATATGGTGATGTCAGCCCACTACAGTCATACTGAGACAGTACACTGGGAGTTTTCCAAGTAATATCCAAAGCAAATAATGTAAATACACACAATAACTTGCTGCTAAAATGTGTCTCTGGACTGAGGAAGCAGAATATCTAAACCAAAAGAAAACCACTAAACGCCTGCTGATGCCCGGGCATAGTTTCCATCCAAACACAGCATCATGTGTGGAACATTTAAAACCTCTGCAAGGGTCAGGAAAAGCTCTGAGATGTTTCTGAGTTTCCTCTGTTACTGTTTGACAGCACTGCTGGAGGACAAAAAGACACAACACAGAGGCAGTGCTGGGAGCTGCACCACTGGCTGCAGGAACAAGGCTGCAGAGGGTGTTACTAAATAAACAGGAGCCCTGGCCTTGCTTTTCAACTTGTTTATTGGTCCACTAGGATTGAAAAAAAATACTAGCTTGGTAAAAAATTACATACAGATCACTGAAAGCAAGTGTAGCATTTTTAAAGACTGAAAACTGTAGATAAAAAGCAGTTTGGAGGAAAGAAATGCACGTAGGACATCTGGGGATTCCCCTCAGATTCAAATTCCTGAGAATTAAATCTTGAATGCACATTAAAATAAAATGGAGTAATACAGAAGAGTTTAAAAAAAGTTTTAGAGTATTTTAAGTAATATTTCATTTGACCACCAAATATTTTAATGATCTGTTGTTATACTTCTAGGTATTACCTACCTAGAAGTATTTGTTTCCTGTGCTGGGTAGAAAACCAAACACTCCCCCATCCCAAAGTAGGGTGAGTGGAATTCTCAGTGAGTCCCATCACACACATCAATATACAATTCTCCATCTTTCCTCCCCTCTCAGATTATTAGAGGACTGCCACATCTACCGGAATGTACAAATATATCAACACAAATAACACAATTATTAATACACAAAGAAAATTTCACTGGAAGAAGGAGCTGTGTGTGGAATGGAACTGATCTCCCTGGAAGACCTGAGGGATGGATTCCATCATGCTCTGAAGGTGTGCAGGTTCACACGAGTGCTCTGACAAGAAAGCCACATAGAACAGATTCTGAATGACCTTTCAAGTACTCTCTGAAAAGAGAAACTAAATCTTCTGATTTTGTAGGCCCAGCATAAGTTAGACATCCAGACTTCCACCTCTAAAAGCACCTGCGAGGTGTCCAACAGGTCCAACAATGATTTTCTGATCTCCATACAGTCTGTATTTGTGGCCTTTCAGTATATAAAGGGGGCTTACAAAAAAAAGGGAGAGCAACTTTTTACACAGAGAGCGATAGGACAAGGGGGAACCATTTTAAATTGAAAAATGAGAGATTTAGATTAGATATTAGGAAGAAATTCTTCACTGTGAGGGTGGTGAGGCCCTGGCACAGGTTGCCCAGAGAAGCTGTGGCTGCCCCATCCCTGGAAGTGTCCAAGGCCAGGTTGGACAGGGTTTGGAGCAACCCGGGATAGTGGAAGGTGTCCCTGCCCATGGCAGGGGATTGGAACTGAATTGTCTTTAATATCCCTTCCAACCCAAACTATTTTAGGATTCTGCAGTGAGCAATGCTCAGGTTCAGTTACTAACTGCTATTAAGAGGAAAGTGTACCGGTATCAAAAACTAAAAGTCTATAAAAACTCGCACCATTTAAAAAGCGCTCAGATAAGAGAATAAAGTCAGAATTGTGCACAGATTTGTGCATGTCCATGAGCTTAAGGAAGGTGTTTCATTACTTTAAAAGGCATTTGTAAACTGAAACCAGTCTAACACTGCTTATCAATACTCCAGTCAAACAGAAAACACACACACAACTCTGGCCACTGCTGGTACAAGTTACAGTAAAAGACTCATTCTCAGATTGTCACATTCTGTTTGCAGCAACATGAGTTCAGAAATCCCCAAAGGATGCCTGGGCAGCTGGGAAGGACTTTTTTAAAACAGCAAGAAAACTGGTATTGTAAGCACAAGCAAGTTTGTTGCAATATAATCCAGGCAAGGAGAACTCCTTTCCGACATTAAAAATTGAAATATGCTGAAATTAGAATGGGAAGGACAATACTGTCTGTCCTGTTCCCTACAGCTACTGCCACGGAAACCTTCCTCATAACTTTTATATTGTTTCCAGTCTCTATTTAAGAATATGAGGGCAAATAATGCCATTTGAATGCAGGTATGAATCCCAGCAGCGTGTTTAAACTTTTAACTTGCAGCAGATCAATGTGAACACCACGATCCTTTCAGAACTAAATTGTATCTTCTCTACTTACCACAGAAAGAGGCAGTAAACAGCAAATTGTCTAAATAAACATTCAAAAATCTCAGACAAGAGAAATACTGATTGGTCCAAACCTTCTAAGAACACTTGGATCAAATCATACATTTGAAATCTGGCCACTCCCTTTCACTTACTGAAATATTTGTTCTAGGAAAAATAATCCTTCATGTTGGTTTTAGTCTTGACAATTTTGCCATTCATAACACAGTGGTGTTTTAAATAGGTCTTTCCACTAATTCAGATGTTATTTTAAAGGGATATTCTTTAAAAATAATGTATTATAGAGGCTTTACTGTGATTTAATAAATGATAATTTTGGATGCAGTAAGGAACTGAAGATCTCAAGTGGACTTACGTGCCGTGCTGTATAAATACAGGGGTATTATCAGAAGTAGAAAAAATTTGCACCATATTTCATTTTTAGCAACTATGACAGTGTTGTGCATCATGGAAAATATCTTCCCCTTCCTTAGTTACACTGAACCACCTGCAATCCCCGTGCTGTTTGCTGGATTTGCTTTTCTTAAAGCAGCGACAGCGCAAATATAACAACTACAAAGGTGAAAAGAAGCATTAATATTGAATCACTACCATAAATTTGCGCATTCTGGATGCCAGTAAATTTTTAAAAAGGCAAAACTTCAGAGGACAAAACCTGGCATTCCTTAAAAGCTTATAGATAAGACCAGGTAGTAATGACACTGGAAGGGTAAACTGAATTAGCTAAACTCCCAAGTGTGAGTGGCATCCAGCACATGGAATTTAGGGGACATTTTCTCCCTTCCCCCCCGTCCATCTTTTGGAAGTTGCAACTTCAGTTTCTGGAGCAGTTCTCAGCAAATTCCACTTTCATGGCTTTGTCCCATCACATTTTGAACCTACACTGACTTTTAGTGCCCAAAGCATCCCATGGCAGGAAAGTCCACAGCTCTGCCAAGAGTTCAGCTGCTTCATAACTCTGACCCTCCATGTTTCTACAGTCTCTAATTCACATTTTTGAGCAGGAGGAACTAGAACACACACAATATCGAGGATGAAAGGAGAGCACCATGAATTTATACACCCACACAATACTTTGTTCTCTTACTTTCCTAATCTTTCCTAATATCTTATTTGAGTTTTACAACAAGTGAGCGCTGGGATAATGTGATTTTTCAGATCTGATTATAATACCAAAATCTCTTCATTAGTAGATATTTCAGGCATTACTGCAAATGTAAATCAAGAATTCTTATCTCTTCCCATGCAGAAAATGTCACATATATCTACACTTAATTCCATCTGCTATTTTAAAGGCCAGTCATTCAGAATCAAGCTGCCTTCCTACAACTCTTCACAGGTGCACATATATGCACACACATCTACAAAAATGCACAGACAAACACTCAAGCCTTTCCCTTACAAATTTTGTCACCTTATTTCCTTTTCCATATGGTTTAAGGCCACACTGAAGAGCAGACTGCACAGATCCCTGTGTAACTGCTGCCCCAGGGATCTCATGGAGGTCTGCAAGAGCCTTCAGTGGAGCACTTTGTCAAATTATCTGAATTTGGAAAAGGTTACCTGTAGCCAGAGTCAGAAAAAAGAGCACAGCTCTTCCTGTTCAGAAGGGAAGTCCCTCTGGTACAGATTTCCCCTAATTTAGAAGTATAGGGTCTCACCTATAATTTCCAGATGCCATTTCTAAGGACAAGACTCACTGATCATAACCCATGTGCTACCCACCCACTGCTTGTGGGTATGTTAATTCCTGAATTGCCTGGAATCTTCTGGAATCCAAAGCTGGTCCACAGAACTGTGCTTATCAAGGTCTTCTGGCAAGTCCTAATAAACCCACTAAGCCTGGGGAGGGGCTCAAGGAAAGATAAAGGTAAGTTTTAAAATAAACTACTGTACCACGTAAGCTTAGATGGAAGTATGGAACCATACTGGGTGGCTGGACAAAGAGAACAGGAAGAAAACCACCCCACAACAAAGCCCAAATGTTACAGGCAAATGCTATAATAGAAATTAACACCAGAAGTCATCTACAGCATCTCCTCCAACCTCCCTTCACACAGAGCATCCTTGGGAGGCACAAGGGTTGTGCTGCTCCTCTCCCACCAGGACAGTTCCAGCAGCAGCACAAGCCACACAGCAAAGGAAAAGATTTTCCCTCATGCACCGAATTCTAAAAAAGTTTGGGTTCGGGGCTTCTCCCATCACATTTTGCTGTAGGGGTGTGAAATTTCTACACCAGGTAGTTGTGCAGCCTCGTACAACCAACCCCTCGCTGCCGCAGGAAGCCACCACGGGATAACTGGAAGGCTCCAGTCCATCCCTCTGCAGCCATGAGTGAGCTAATTACCGCTGGGTTTTTCCCTAATTAAATGAATGCAATATCCAGTTCTCCCAAATAATATAAGCTGGGTAATGAAGAGATTTTCCGCTTACCGATGAACTCGCTAAATGCAATAAAACGAACATCTGGGTAGGACGAGCTCTCTGCTAAGAAGTTTGTTTATAGCACAGGATGGAAAGACCC